ACTTCAGCAAGAGACTATCTGCTCGCTGTGTTATTCGGACGACGAGACGCACAACCATCTATTCCTTCAATGCCAATTTAGCTCCAGTATATGGCGTCACTTTGCAGAGAAGATTTGGTGTAACCCTCCACTTTTACTACATCAGATTCCTCATTGGATTGAGGAGGCGACGATTGATCGAACACGACAACGAGCTGCACTAGGGAGAATAACACTATAAGCATTGGTTTATCTTGTTTGGCAGGAGAGAAATAGCAGGATTTTCCACGCACAGAGCACTCAACTGCCATATCTCATTCATAAGCTGGACCGGCTAGTTCGGAATATTATCTTATCTTCCCAAACGAGCATGCAACCTCGTAAAAATTTGTTACTACAGGATTGGTACTATATCACAAGGCTTCCCTGATATGTCTTTTGCTAGGAAAGCAATAGGCATGGAAGTTTAATTTTGTTAACCGATTTCAAAACGGTTCTGTAAATTACAAATAATAATTTTTTTGGTTAATAGATGCAAATTTCATAAAAAAAAAAAAAAAAGTTGTTCGATAATACAAAATGAAAAATGGAAATTCTTTTTCTTTCTCTTTGTTAAAAATATTATTTAAGGAAAATAAATTTTTGTATCCTTTAAAAATTTAAAAATCGTTGCTATGGAATGGAGGTACAATTAAATTAGAGGTAAACATGCATTTATAGTATTATATATACACACATTTTATCTTTTACGTTTTCACTTCCGATAGAGGTTTATTGTAGTAGGAGGCCCAATAGGCAAAATGTATAAGTAAGCCGACACTAAACGGGCCCAAAGGGCCCATAATCGGCCCCTGTTATTTTGGTTTTATTTGGAAACCGGTTAACTTCTTTTCAGATCTAACAAAACTGAAAAACCGGATTCGATTTACTTGGTTCAGCCAAACCAAATCTAATCTCTACCACGGATTCGATTTTCTCGTTATTGAAAATCATGGAAAATTGGTTGAATCATATTCATGACTACATATTTTCGCTATAATTTTTAGCACATTTTATTAGAATATAAAAATTTAAACGAAATTAACATATAAGAATATCACACTTTTCCCCCGTAAAAAAATAAATAGCATTTCTCACAGATGATTAGGAAAAATAATGTTCTTGTGAACGATTTAAAAACTATATATTTAAAATATAATATTATAATCTGTAAATGGTAAAAGGATAAGATAAACATAGAGAAACAAAAAAGGAAATTATAAGAGGATGAAAGTGTTCTTGGTTTGTAGACTATTTAATGAGCACAGTGGCGAAAAATCCATGTTTCATAAGTATTGACGTGTAAATACTTATTAATTTATGACATTCCAAATTTGATTTAACTACATAAACAAAAAAATCTTTCAAAACGTATAAATAATTATTATTGTTTTAATTATTATTATTTTTATTATATTGTTGTTGTTGTAACAGAAAAAAATTTCAGCTATATTGAGAAAGTGAGAGAATATATCGTGGAATTTGAGAAAAATGAATAAGTAAATGAAATGAAATGGTTTGAGTAAGTATTCGTTGTCACTGAAAATATTGATGTTTCTAAATGGAATTAATAATGCTATATTGGTTAAGGGATTTACCATAAAAGGAAAATATAAAAAGAAATTATTTCCAATTACAGAGTTTTAATTTATTTAACCCTACACTTGATTTAAAAAAAAAACATACAAGGAACAATTGTATCGAGTAGATATCATATGGCATTCTTCAAATAAATTTTCTATATAAACCAAAGAGGTCCATCGTTTGGGACACCAAAGGAAAAAACAAAAAGAGAAAATGGATTTGAGAAATTCCGACAACGACAAGAACAAAGAAGAAGAGTCGGCCAAGAGCAAGAAAGCTCACAAGCCATGCAGCGGCAAACAGGGCACGTCCAAAGATCGCCATGCGAAAGTTGACGGCCGAGACCGCCGCATCCGCCTTCCCCCGGCCGCCGCCTCCCGGATATTCGATCTGACTCGCGAGCTCGGCCTCAAAACCGACGGAGAAACCATCGCCTGGCTCCTCCGCCAGGCCGAACCCGCCATCATCGCCGCCCCTGGCCGCGGCATCAATCCTTACGACAACAATATTAACAATAACGTGGCTGACGATTACATATTTGACCTTAACAACAACACGAACAGTGTTGTCAGTAATAATAATAACGGCAACATTAATATTAATAATGGTGATGATCATGATATTATTAATGTTTATGCTTACGTGGGTTCGAGTGGTGGTGCAATGGGTGGTCACGGGTTTGGAGTGCCGGTGGTCCCGGTGGTTCCGGTACGATTTCCGGCGACGAGGAATTTTCCAGTGGCCGGAGATGTGAGGATGATGTCGGGAAATCATGGTTTATTCGGGAACACCCGCTTGCTGGCGTCGGCGCCAGCAACACCGCCGCCGCAACCCCAGTACGATTTTGAGGCGGAGATGGCGTATATGCAGTCTCTCTCCGGCGGCCGCCGCGGAGCAAATTGAGAAAGGAAAAAACAAGAAACGAGGAAGAATTAAGATCTATATGAAGCCTTGAAATAAGTATAAGTTCGATTATGCTGGCTATCTTTTTATGTTTTTCCTTCTTCTTTTCTGATAATTTTAATTTACTGTTTTGGTTTGTCTAAAAAAGTCACAGTGAATGGAGAAAAATGTTTGTCCTTTGTCGCCAAAATCAGTTTTTTTGTTCGGAACAAATTCATAATGATTTTTTTTTCTGTTTATATATATATATATACTAGGGAGAATAACACTATAAGCATGAAAAGTTATATTTATTAAAACTAGATTCAATGAATAATTCCATTTTTGTTATCTTTTTTTCTTCTCGGGTATTCTTTACAGAATTCCATATTTTCAAAAAAATATTTATTTATTTTTTAATTCATAATGAAATGCCAAATTTATTTTTTATTTATATATTAATAAAATTAAAGTGTTTTCTGATTAATTGAGTTTTGTAATCTATCGAATAATTTTTTCCTTGTAAAACTAATTTACGGCTAACGTATATGATTTACGAACATGATAACAAACTTTGAGTGTATTGACATATGAATTATTCTTTTTTTTTTGTATTAGTAATCTAAGAAATCAGATATTTATAATTTATTTTTACTATGAAAAATATAATGTAAGGACAAAGAAAAATCACCCAAAAAAAGATAAACAAAAGAACACGTTTGTCTTGCCTATATATTCTTCGTATATTTATTTGATAATTCTAAAAGAATTTGGATATGCGATTAACTATTTATTTTCCTTTGAAAATAATTTACCAGGGGTTGAAAAAATAAGGTAAAAAAAAGGAATACGATATTACCATTGTTGTGAGAGAAAGTCCCAACGGTCAAATGAAACAGAGCCATAGTTTCTCTCTCTACTTCCTCGTATATCGCCATCTCTTCCTCTCCTCCATTTCTTGCTATCCAAGAAAATAACGAAGCCGAACAAAAAAACAGCAAACCCTAATCTCGTCTCTCTGGAAAATTCTCTCCTCAAATCTCCCATACACGTTTCTCTGATATCTCCGCGATCCTTCCAACAAAGCTGCGATTTTTTTTGTTTCGGAGAAATTTTCCTGTAATGGGAAGGAGGAACTCGAAGTGGAATCCATGTTTCTGCATTTCGGAGATTGCGATTTCGTTCTTCTTCTTCGTCTTCTTCCTCCTCGCGGTGATTTCGCCTCGTCAAGTAGTGTGCCAAGATAATCCCACGGCGAATCGCCTGTTTAACCAGTTCGTGTTCGACAAACTGTCCAATCTCACCGAGGTTTTCGAGGCTGACATCAAGCGAGAGCTCGGATTCTGCATTACCGATGTGTTAGTTCTTGTCGGAATTTCTATTGTGTTCCCATTTGGGTTTTGTTGTTCTGTTCATTGGGGTGCTGAACATGCATTCGAACCGTAAGCCTCTTTGGGCATTGCATTGAAGGTGTTCGTCTTTTTGCTTGAATGACAGGAAACGTGATTATAACGAGGCATTTAATTTCTCGGCTAAGCCCGAATTCTTAAACGCCTGTGCTAAAACCACGAAAGGTATACATATATATATATATATATTATATTCAACATTTTGAGCATGCCATTTACCAAAAAAAAAAACATTTTGAACATGAGCTCTGCTCCTTAGATGCGTTCAGACATGGTCCCATGATGTTTTTTTTCCATGTTTGTTTCAAACAGGCGACATGATGCAGAGAATTTGCACGGCTGCAGAAGTGAAGATATACTTCAATGGCTTGTTCGAAGGTGGATCCAAGAGGTCGTCCAATTACCTGAAGCCGAACAAGAACTGCAATCTCTCGTCTTGGATCACAGGTTGCGAGCCCGGATGGGCATGCCGAACTGCTAAAGATCAGAAAGTCGAGCTCAAAGACGACAAGAACGTGCCTGTCAGAACTCAAGTTTGTGCGCCGTGTTGCGAAGGTTTCTTCTGTCCTCGCGGCATTACTTGCATGATACGTAAGCATTCTAACCCCCAATGTTTTGACATTCGTTAAGTGTTGTTCTGTCCTGATTCCTTTGTTGTATCCTCGATGAAGCTTGCCCTTTAGGCGCATTCTGTCCACTTGCGAAGCTCAACAGAACTACAGGACTATGCGACCCGTAAGTTTCATTCTGGTTTTGTCTGAATTTGTGTAACGTGATCCGGTTTCCTGCTAAAGATCAGTAGCAGGAGTGTTTTGCAGATACCATTACCAGCTTCCGTCAGGACAGCCAAATCACACGTGCGGTGGAGCAGATATTTGGGCTGACATTACCAGTAGTGGCGAGGTCTTCTGCTCAGCCGGCTCGTTCTGTCCGTCTACTATCCAAACTCTTCCTTGCACTCGAGGGTACTGAAAAAAAAACATTCCTTAGCTTCTTCCACTCCTGTTTCTTGGATTGTCTTTGTCTTTTTTCCATATGTTTCTTCCCTGTTATTGCCATTATTTCCATCTCGTTGGGTGACTTCATCACTTTCTTCCTTTTTTTGTATTTGCATCAGACATTACTGCAGGGCAGGTTCTACAGCAGAACAAAGTGAGTAACCTCTCTATCCAATAACCTCTAACAAAATTTTTAATAATTTAGAAAAGAATGAAGCTAATGAAAGAGAAAGCAAGAGGTGCCAAAACAGAGGACTTACAAGGAGCTCTATGGACATCCATGGAATTTTGAAGGTGACTCAATGCCTTTTTTTTTCTGATGAACTTGCAGAATGTTTTCGGCTGGCGACATGCAATCCAAGGTCTGCAAATCAGAATATCACAGCTTATGGAATCATGCTTTTTGTGAGTGAGATTTGATACCGGCTCAATCAAATACCATCTCTCCATGTTTCCGATGCTTAGATACTAAGTGAATATCATTTGATAATACCTTTGTTCTTGAATCTTTGCTTGTTCAATGTAGGCCGGGCTAGGTTTCCTGCTCATAATCTTCTACAATTGCTCTGACCAAGTGCTTGCAACTAGAGAAAGAAGGCAGGCGAAATCCAGGGAAAAAGCAGTGCAAAGTGTGCGGGACTCACAAACTCGTGAAAAATGGAAATCTGCCAAAGACATTGCAAAGAAACACGCAACCGAGCTGACACAATCATTCTCTCGTACATTTTCTCGAAGGAAATCCATGAAACAACCTGATCTGATGAGAGGTCTAAGCCAGGCAAAACCTGGATCAGACGCGGCTCTTCCACCTATGGCAGGTGGTTCAGACACGAAAAAAGGAAAGAAGAAAGAAAAGAACAACTTAACACAGATGTTACACGACATTGAACAAAACCCTGAGAGTGCAGAAGGCTTTAACCTAGAGATAGGGGACAAAAACATAAAAAAGAATGCTCCAAAAGGCAAGGCATTGCATACACAGAGTCAGATGTTCAGGTATGCATATGGCCAAATCGAAAAGGAAAAGGCTATGCAGGAGGCAAACAAGAACTTAACTTTCTCCGGGGTCATCAACATGGCAAATGACATCGATATAAGAAAGAGACCGACTATTGAAGTGGCGTTTAAAGATTTAACGATCACCTTAAGAGGGAAAAACAAACATCTTCTTAGATGTGTGACTGGAAAATTATCTCCTGGACGTGTTTCGGCCGTGATGGGTCCTTCCGGGGCAGGGAAAACCACCTTCCTTACAGCTTTAACTGGCAAAGCACCAGGTTGCACCATGAGTGGCATGATTCTTATAAACGGGAAGGTTGAATCAATTGAATCCTACAAAAAAATCATAGGTTTTGTGCCACAGGATGACATAGTACATGGGAACTTGACAGTGGAAGAGAACCTATGGTTCAGTGCAAGATGCAGGTAGGCTACATTTGCCTGTATCTTAGATATCATGATAGGGATGATTACTGTGCTTAATCTATTTATTGTTGCAGGCTCTCTGCAGATCTCCCGAAGCCGGAAAAGGTTCTAGTCGTCGAAAGGGTCATTGAATCACTAGGTCTGCAGCATGTTCGAGACTCCCTTGTAGGGACAGTGGAAAAGAGAGGAATCTCTGGAGGCCAGAGGAAACGAGTAAATGTTGGGCTGGAAATGGTGATGGAACCTTCACTTCTGATATTAGATGAACCTACATCGGGTCTTGACAGCTCATCTTCTCAATTACTTCTCAGAGCCCTTCGCCGTGAAGCTCTTGAAGGAGTAAACATCTGCATGGTCGTCCACCAACCCAGGTATTAACATTCTCCCATCTGTATGCCTTCAAATGGAGCCGATGAACGGTGATTTATGTCAACAGATCTAAAATATACTAATGGGCCCTGTTTTTCCTTTCTCTTCTCTGTCCTCAGCTATACTCTGTTCCGAATGTTCGATGATCTGATACTGCTGGCAAAGGGTGGATTGATATGTTACCAAGGATCAGTTAAGAAAGTTGAAGAATACTTCTCGAGCATGGGGATTAATGTCCCCGATCGTGTTAACCCTCCTGATTACTACATTGATATCTTGGAGGGCATAGTAAAGCCAAGTACAAGTTCGGGAGTGAACTATAAGCAGCTTCCGGTGAGATGGATGCTTCATAACGGTTATCCCGTCCCTATGGACATGCTAAAGAACGTTGAAGGAATGCCTGCTTCTGCTGAGAACTCTGCCCATGGAGGCAGTGTGGGAGCAGCAGATGGACAATCTTTCGCAGGGGAGTTCTGGCAGGACGTCAAGGCAAATGTTGAAATTAAGAAAGATCATTTGCAAAATAACTTCACCAGTTCTGGTGATTTATCCGAAAGGGTAGTACCAGGTGTATCTCAGCAATACAGATATTTCTTAGGAAGGTATATCTCCTCAATACTAACTTATTTTCAGCCAAATCAATCTGATTGACATTGATTTTCCGATCTCCTTTAGACTGACAGTCACTAGAGGATGGACGGTTCTGCTATTGATGCTGAATAACTTCTGTGAATGCTTTGCAGGGTAGGAAAACAAAGACTACGAGAAGCCAGAACGCAAGGTGTAGATTACCTGATTCTTTTACTGGCCGGTATCTGCTTAGGAACGCTTGCCAAAGTGAGCGATGAAACATTTGGAGCCATCGGCTACACATACACAGTCATTGCTGTTTGTAAGTAGAAACTCACAGCTCATGATTTTGATAGAAACCCGGAGCTTTTTTGTCGGGGGGTCTACCAGATTTCTTCAGACATTATTTGTTGATTCTAACCAGTTTGAGGATTTCTGGTTTTCAGCTCTGTTGTGCAAGATTACTGCTATGAGATCCTTCTCTCTGGATAAACTACATTACTGGAGAGAAACCAGAGCCGGAATGAGCAGCCTCGCTTACTTCATGGCCAAAGATACAATTGATCACTTCAATACCATCATCAAGCCATTAGTCTATCTCTCCATGTTCTACTTCTTCAACAATCCAAGATCAACCGTCACAGACAATTATGTTGTCCTGATCTGTCTTGTCTACTGCGTGACTGGCATAGCGTATGTCCTGGCCATAGTTTTCGAGCCTGGTCCAGCTCAACTGGTAAGCATCCCACTTAGGAACTGGTTGCAGCTGACAACGTAGAAGCAAATATTTGATCTATTTGATTCATTTTTTCTGACAAAAACCCGCATTTTTTCCTTCGTGTCTCGGTTCAGTGGTCAGTGTTGCTACCAGTGGTTCTGACTCTGATTGCAACCCGGAAGAACGATAACAAATTCGTAGATTCGCTTTCAGATTTTTGCTACACGAAATGGGCTCTCGAGGCATTCGTGGTATCAAACGCTCAAAGGTCCGACATTTCAGATTCTTCTGCCATAAATTTCCATAGCAATGGTCTATCTATCTCTACACGCTTTTTAACACCCTCCTGAAACGTTACAGATATTCAGGAGTTTGGATAATCACAAGATGCGGATCGTTGATGGAGAACGGGTACAACATCAAGAACTTTCCCCGCTGTCTGATCTTCCTCGTCCTAACCGGTATTCTCAGCCGTGCTGTTGCATTCTTTTGTATGGTAACCTTCCAAAAGAAGTAGATATAACTTTCTCTCGAAGATTTCTTCCCCTTCCACCTGCAAAACCCGGGGGGAAAAAACATCCAAACACGCATTTCCCCCCGTCTCACTCCGAGAAGATAAACCGAGGAATCGGAGCAAAGGCATGAACTTTACAAGTGAGAGCTGACACCATTCTCTCAGGAGATCAAGCCCGGATTTTCTGTTCATATGTAGTTTCCGTAAGCAGAGTTCTGTATTCTTTATGTGTTGTATATCTTCCCTTCATTCTTTTATAGATACTGTAGTGGCCATAGAAGAACACAACTAGCAAATTTTTTTTCTTTTTTTCTTTCTTTCTTTCTTGGAGGATTTGATTTTCTGACCGTAGATTTCATATATCCTAAGATTCAAAGGCAATGATGAATTTATCTTCAGCATAAACTTGCCATCTTGTAATGAAATCTCTTCTTTGATTTTTCACCGTCGTACCACTTGATAAAAGAAATTTAGTTCGCAACTCGCAAGTTCAAAAATTTCCCGAGAAAATAAGGAGAGATAGGATAAAGGAGCAAAAGGGTTACCTCGAAATGGCGCCGAGGAGATTCTACCATGAATTTGAGTGGAAAGGAAAACGATATATATGTATGTATGCATATATATATATATATATATATATATATAACAAATAATCATATTTTTTGGATAAAGAACAAATAATCATATTCGAGCACATAAAAATCAATTCGGTATGATTTTACAATCAAAATCAATTTTAAACCGAATATAAAAAAATATTAAAAAAAAGAATATGTGTACAATGAATGAATGATAGTATATAGATTAAAAACAAAATAAGGAAATAGTGGGAAAAGACGGTTAAGGCCATCAAACAATGAAAAGAGCCTCTCATCTTCCACCACCAAACCCTAACAGTTTCCATCTCTTCTTCTTTCTTATTTTTACTTAGGCTTGAAGCCTAAGTCACAAATTCTATAGTTCCAAGTCCCCTTTTCTTCTTCTATTTACAACAATCAACATTCCCTCTCTTCATCATATCCTTTCTGCCTCCCCATGGCTGCGGCCACTCTCCCTCGCTCTCATTCTCCCTTTGATCCCTCTCTTGATGCTGTAAGTTGAATTTAGCTTAATCCGTTATAGGTTATATTGTTTTTCGGTTCTCTTTGAAATCGTTTGAATCCGATATGAATCGAAATTCTTGGCTTAATACATATAGATCTTGAATCTATTGCGTTTTTCTCCGTGAATCAACTTTTGGTACGTCTCATTTTCGTATAGGATTCATAACTTTTTGCCCAAACACCGAATAAGTTGGACGTGTTCTATTAGGAAACATAGTCATCTAAATGATGCTATATATATATATATGTATCTCTCCTATATACCCCTAATAATATATATTTTTTTTTGATAATATGTGATTTGCCAAGTGGGGTTCGAACCTGGGTGGAGCACTCTTTGCGCATACCCACTTACCAGTTGAACCAACCACCCTTGGCAACCCCTAATAATATATATATATATATATATA